TATAAAAATATCTCAATTGATTTTATGGCCACAGACAAAAGTCCATCTGTCCATTTGCCCTTCAGTTTCTCTAAGGCCTGTTAGCATCGTAAGCTTTCCTAATGAAAGCCACCCAGCATCGGTTTCCGTCTCCTTGCTGCTGGCCAACAGGGACAACAACATTCTGAAAAGACAAAATCATTGAAGGCAATACGGGAGGACAAAATGTACGTCAGTCATAATCCTGCAGTGCAGCCTTTCCTTATCTGGCTGTCCACACCCTCTCCACCTCAACCTCTCTACCTTCCCTCCTATCTCTCCTCGCTCCATCTGCACTCTTTCCTCGTCTTTCTCCTCGCCACCAAAGTGTTTCCTTTCCTCTCCCTATCTTCTCTTCACTCTCTGCTTTTCTTACACTTCCTATAGCTTCCTCTCTTCATACCTCACCCATCCTCCCCAGCAGCTGACAACACCCTTCCCCTCCTTCCTCAGCACATTGGCTGGGATAATGGCTGCCATTGCGTGCCTGTGACTCCAAATGGCCTCACCTTATCATTACTTCTCACGCCCTTCTTATTCTATACCTTCTTCTGTCTCGGATTATAACAGGGTACATGGATCTACCTATCAACTAAACAATGAAGTAAGAACTGTCAAAGGTGTAGCAACATGCCTGCGCTGCTAATCAGTAAGCTCAGCAAGGGCAACATGCAAACACTCCCAAAGTATTTATTACTTATGATTATATTTATTTAGCATTCATTAAGTCTAGCCACACCGTCCCTAACCAGGATGGGAAGCTACAACAGATCAGCAGGTTTTTGTCTTCTGATAGCCATGAGGCCGCCCAATTAACCGTGCATCCGTGAGCACTTCTTGAACAACATAATGTGGCCTTTTGGAAGACAATTTAAATTCCTAAAGGTATAATCAAACAATAAAATGTAAGCAAAGGAATTAACCTGCAACCTCCCATCATTATCAAGCGGACTGACAGGTCTCTTAATTCAGGAAAAACTGGAAACAACAAGAGATTTCAGTTATCAAAGCGACATAAAACAAAATCCAAAATGTTGCTGCACAGGTAAAAAAAAAATTCATCATTTGTAAAATTTGGAATATTGTGACATTTACCAAATCAGAAGTATTATTATTATTATTAAGATCAACACTCCTTACAAGCAGAAACTAAACAATAGATACATCACTGACATAGGCAACTTATAGGAGGCTGACTAACACTGTTACCTGGCATGAAACACAAGACTGTATGTTTATGTAGCAGTGGGGACTTAATAACTAAACAGTATTATAATCTTTTGCTATGAAGATTGCCTTGTCCGACCATAATTTAGGGGTTCGATCACACATTCTGTCATGTATATTTACACAGCTCAAATCCTCTGAGACAGGTATATATCTGAGATAATAAAAAGTCATATATAAAAGAAAACACAGGAGTCGACTGAAAAATTCTAGCACTCCCCTGCTTCAGTGAAACTCCTTGGTTCGGTGTAAATCACAAGACAGAAGATGCAGCTCTACACTCCAAATTAGCTCAATTTATTATTAATAGTACAATCCTGAGAAATAAAACTGCCGGGGCGACATGGCGGGTAGGTTTTCGAGGGTGTTTAGTTTTCGAGAGGCGCTTCTATCCTCAAAATGATTCACACACTCAGTTGTCAGGGCGCTTTTGACGCTGCTGTGACCTCTGACCTCCTCCCTATTTGTTTCATGGATCTCGTTCTCCTGATGCTCTCCCTGGAAGTCACTCAGGACTAAAGCAAACAAAAGGTCAACGCTGCTGCTTGAAATGCAAAACCACAAATGTCAAAACACGATGAGAGCAATTAAGTGTTTGTCCGTAGTCTGAGTGTTTTTTAGGACTTTCTACGTCTTTTCAGCTACCCATCAATCGTTTCCAGGCAACAGCAGGACGTCCTGCTCTTACTACTCCCTCACTTTCCTGACATTACATCGACAGAGCAGAGAGACTCATCATCATCTTTAAATATCCACAGAAGCCTGACAGGGTATACAAGCGGTTGCCTCTGCCTCGCCTCACATCATCACACCTTCCATTCATTCATTCACTGCTACTGCGGACCCATAGTTCTAGAGGGTTAAATGCTTTGCTCAAAGGCTCTCCAGCAGCAGCAGTTACTGAGGACAATGAAGGTGTTTCTCATTTGCTTTGGAATGAGCAGAAGCAGTATTTGGGTAATAAGCATGTTTTGTGATAGTCGCCATAGCTGAACAAAGGAAACTGCTTCACTAACAGAAACTGCATGAAGGGACCATACAATACCACTTTTATACATTTCAAGATAACAAAAGAATCAGACCTTCAGCACAACCATCACCAAACTCTTTCTGATGTTCACAAACACGCCATCCATCCCTCCTAACCCTCCTGTCCTGCTCACCCACCCCCTTCATATATCTCCCCAGTCATTCTTCCATCAATTTCGCTCTGGCACTTCCTTCACTTCATCTACAGATCTCGATCTATCATCAATTCATCCCTCATTCTGTGCTCCGCCCACTAATCCACTACCCAGAATTTCCATTTCACTCGGTCCTTCCCCTTTCATTCCTCCTCTGTATCCTCTGTCTTCACAGGAAACTTCCTTCACCGTGAAATATAATTTTCCAAAATGAAATTCTTGATGAAGTGAAACAATCACTAAGAAACAACGTGATATCATTGCTTTGTCAGTGGGATGGCTTATCACAAATCACTCATTGTTGACAGTTCCTTTTAAACAAAACGTCCTCAAAGTATGACAGCGGGACACAAGTTCAAGGAGAACAGTTTAGAGTTTGTTTTGATTTGATGTATGTAGGATACAATTTCTCAAGATGACTGGTAGAGGCATCATTTCAGCTTTCAGCAGGCTGCTAATTCCCATGTTTTTAATATCTTGAAGCAAGCTGTCAAATCAACATCTATTCTGAGTCAAAATGCCGGCACTCCCTGTTTTTTAAGAGTCTGTCAGCTGGATTGACAAAGAAACTATTTTCATTAAAATTACGAAACAGAAAAGGTGTAAAACTACTGATTAAATTTCAGTTTGTTTGGTTCTGCTAAAAAATGGTAATTTCACATAGAAATTTCATGTATGAGACGAGGAAACAGAAGCTCACTCTTGACCTTTCTTTGCTGTCGCAGTTAAATACTTGGGAGTCGTCATTCACAAAGAACACACATTGCTACTAAACCGCAGAACTACACCAGACCTTGTACAAACAAATTTGCTCAGGAGATATAACAAAAAGAACTCGCTGACATGTTTACACTGAATATTGAGCATCACGCTGCAGGTGAAGAGATCTGTTGTGGCCACAACTCACATTCTTCATTACTGAATTTATTATGACACAGTGTTTCAGTAATGGACCTTCGTCAGGCAACCAAATAAGGCCAATCAGTGTCAAACCTTAGTTAAACTGCGTTCAAACAGACAACACTGCATGGGAAAGGCCTTTTCATTCATTTGAATAGGACCACTGCATTGACGCAGCAGGAGTTCCATTTTCTCTCTACCATCACAACGTGCTGCTAAACTGTTGCAAGGAGGATGCTAGCAAGAGGCGACGTGATCACGTAGGCCCACTAGTCATGTGACTGAATCCTGCCATGCTGTAGAGAGCGTTGCTGCACCGTGTATTAAGTGGATGTGAGGAGTTTCCACGCGCGTTTCAATATTTTTGGCGAAGTAATTAAAATACTCGAAATTTGCACATCGTAAAAACAACAATGACGATATTATCGCAAACGATATATATCGCCCACCTATAGTCATCCGGCAAAAAAAGAGAACTTAGTGCAAACTTTTCCCGCATGCAAAGCGATGTCACCCAACATGATACACATTCCTGGTAGCTTATTTTGTAACATGACCTGGTGATCATTGGCACCGAAAGATAAAAGGATTGCAGCAGAGTTGTAAATTCCTTCCTCATAGTATTAGAAACTGCTGTGTACAGTGTAGGCATCTGCTACGCCAATAAACGCGTCAATCTGTTACTCAAACTGGACTTCCTGTATTGTGTTTCAACATCTCCATACTACCTGAGACACCACATGCCCACTAAGACTGCTCCTTGTTTTTAACACTGTTTTTTGGTTTGAAAACCCATCAGATAAAACATCTTGATCCACTAACTAGGATTTGTTTTGTCTGTTTAAACAGATATAAAGGACTTGATTTAAAAGTCTAAGACAATGCTAGAAGATTACAAAATTTAAAAAGAAAATGATGAGACAGGTTATAAACAAGCCAATAGTTCAGCCAGATTATTGAAGGTTAAACTGACAATGAGCAATAGCAATCCCTCCTTACACAGGAAAACTGTATGTGCACAACTACAGCAAGTACGGTAGGTCAAAGTTGACACAGGAAGTCAGTATATATGAGCTGTGATGGAAGTTTAAAATGCACAGTTTGGCGTCTTCTGACCACTCCTGTTTCTTGCATTTACCTTCACCTTTAGCGATTATTCACTCTTTAGGTCAACTGTTATTACTACAGAAAGGAACCACGGCCAAAATTATGAGAATAAGGCCAGTGGGGTAATGAACCAGAACTCCTCTGTAAAATGGAGTTTGCCATAGCTCTGATTTACACATGCTGCCATGTTGCAAGTTCATTCTTGAATATAACTAAAAACTAAAGTTGGAACACTAAGAGAGGTGAGAGTCGTATCATTTGACTAATTAATACTCCATTAATCACTGGCTCATTTTTAAATCTTCTTGATGCCAAGATAATTAGTAGCATTAAAAAAAAAAAAAACCCTCCTCCTGCGCCCGTCTGATTTTAATCCCGCCTGTGTTGAGTGTGAATCCGGCGTGATCAAACATGTCTGATCGTGAGCGATGCGAGTCGGCGGCCACACCTGCCCACACCCACCTGACTCTCATCCACCCATCTGCTCCACCAATCCTCCTGCTTATTCACCCACAGATCCCCCCACCCTCTTCTAATCAATCTTCCCCGCCTGCCCCTTCTCACCGTGCACTCCATCTCCTCTGGCTCTGGTTTGATCTGTACAGAGGGCATGTCTGTCTCGCACTCCTTCTCCTCCTCCTCCTCCACTTCCTCCTTCTTCTTCACAGACTGTGTCGCCACTTCCTCTCGCTCCTCCTCGCCTGCTTCTTCCTCCTCCTCCCCCTGCGGCGGCCGAGGCCTGGTCGCCGGCTCCTCCTCCTTCTCCTCCTCTTCCTGGGATGCGGGCGGCGGCGGTGATGATGACGGCGGTGGCGGCGGTTGTTGCTGGGTCAGGGCGCTCTGCTTGGCCGGGCTCCTCTGCTTCTTCTGGGCGCCGACAGCACTCTTCTTCTGCTTAGGAGTCGACTGGCACTGAGGAGGAGAAGAAGAGACAGAAGGTGAGAGGAGGATGGAGGGATCCCTGAAAATAGAAGGAAGAAGAGCAGAAGGTAGGGAAGGAGAAGAAAGGGGCTGAGGAAAGGGAGGTGATGAGGGGGGTAGTTGAGGAGAGAAAAAGGGGGGTGGGGAAAATGGCAGGGGAAAAAAAGAGGGGAAGGATGGTGAGAACAAAGTTAAAAAAAAAAAAAGGCAAAACTTCCAGGACAGAGGGAGAGGGTGAAAGGAGGGGATTTGTTCAAGGATTTGAAGAATGAGGAGTAAAATGGGCAAGGGGGTGAAGGAAGCAAGGGGGAGAAAGAAAAATGTGAAAAAAGGGAGGAGAAAAGATTAGAGGGCAGGAAGTGGGGGAGGAAGACAGGTAGGAGAGGAAGCAAGACAGGAAATAGAATTGGGAGGGGGGAAAAAAAACACATGACAACAAGCATTACCTCTGCTCTAAAGGCTGGCTAAAGAAAACCCCTCCTCTCAAAAATCTACCAGAAGGGGGGTTAAAACACACACTAGCACACTCTCTGTTTGAAAAAAGACAAGAAAAATTAAGGCAAAGAGACAGACAGAGGAGGCAGAGAGACAAAGGCCTAATCCTGAGGCTGCCAGTGAGGGAATGAGAGCGAAAGAGAAATAACAGAGAGAGAGAGAGAGAGCAGGGAGGAGTAGCCGTGAACTGACCCCTCCCTCCCTTTCAGCAGCAGGCGGACACACCCTTTTCTGGAAGCCGAGCGAGAGACACACACACACACACACACACAGAAAGAGAGAGAGAGAGAGAGGTGTGGGGAGCGCCGAGGCAGAGGGACTCGACACACACTTCTAGCAACGTACACACCCCTTCGCTTCTTTTCTGTCTCCATTTTCTCACCATGTCCACTTCCTTTCTCACACATTTTAATGTACTCTGAGAATTACTAGTACTCCTACAAATTTAGCTGTATGAGAAGTTATTAATAGTGTTAAATCTACAGATGTAAATCATCTACTTGAAGGTTTCCTCTAAACTTCAACATATCTTGTCCTCAATATTCTGTGAGGTGTAGCGCTGGTTATCATTTGAAAATGTGTCAGCACTGACAATATATATGTATGATATCTGGGTTTCTGTGCCAATACCAACACAATACTTTCCTCGTGCTTTCCTTTCAAGAATATAAAAAATAAATTTCAACAAAAGCCCAAGTTCTCGGATGTTACATTTTGTCGAAACACAGGAAACCATGCGACAACTTTGTCTAAAATTTAGTTTCAAAATTATTATTCAAATCAGAAAAGAAGAAGTAGAGAAGAGAAGGGATCTGAGCAAGCCTTCTGTAGTTGACAGGTTTTAATACTCTGTGTAATGGACACACCAGTGAAGAGCAGAGGTTTAATACCCTGTCAGAGTGAAGCTTATTTAGAATAAATAAGAAATAAACTTGTTATTAAAGGGTGAATTAACCTGACAGCCCTCTTACATTGATCAGCAGTATATATTATATATATACTAGTAATAGTATATATATATTTTTTTTACAAGCAATCAGTACTTAATAGCATATTCATATTGTCCATAATAACGACAACAGTATATTATAAGACATAATAAAGGAAAATAAAGCTTAATGAGGCAGTGGGAAACGAGCCAACAACAACTATTTTGACTACTTATTTAGCTCATAAATTGTCTAAAAGATGTCTTTAAATTTCTTGTCTTGACCAACAAATAGTCCAAGACTAAAATATATTTGATTATTAACTGATATAACACAGACAAAAGAAGCAAAACCTCACACAGGAGAAGCTGAAACGGAGACTGGCATTTCTGCTTGAAAAATGACTGATGAGAAATCAGTTATAATCTAATCTAATCTAGTCCCACTGGTCTCCATGTTGTGACGCAGCGCAAGGTTATGACCCACGGGTTGAACACTGCTGATCTACACTAGCGGAAGTTGTAAATTAAGATGTCATCTCTCCCACTTCTTAGTTTTTTGTCTTCCCGTTTGAAGACTGATCTTGCTGATGCGAATGTGGTCACAGAGGACTTTTCTGTGGAATTGTTAATACTCGTGGTTTTATAAAGAAATCTGACTTTGTGAGATCTGAACGCCCACAACTTCAACTCAAATATCCCCCCCCCGTGGGAATCAATAAAGTGTTTCTGATTCTGATTCTGATTCTGGGTCTCGAATGTGGACCTGACATGTTTGTTGCACTCTAAAAAAAATAAATAAAGTACTTCAGTGGACCATATTACCAGCACTCGGTATATTAACATTCAAATGCATTGATTTAAAAAATTGTGTTGACATAAAAAAATTGAAAAAACTAGTTGAAACAGGTTAATTATTATGGAGTAGCCTAAAAAACTACCTTTGATTAACCAGGAAGTGATCTATCTTTCTCACGGTGCAACAGACGCTCTAATACACAAACTAGTTCTCTGCTTCCTGTCTGCAGCAGCAACCCTGCTGTACAACTCACTGCTTATCATGGGAAATGTGGTTAAAGTCCACCATCTACCGTACGATGATGGGTTTCAGGTATCCATATGCTTGTATAAATAATATTGACTCAATAGTAAAAAACAAATATGACTAGTTATGACTACTACATACTGTTATTACTTATTAAAGCATAGAAAATAATGCATGTGAGTATTTTACTGCACATAATATGCCGGGTGTGTTTCCCTTTTTGGTGTTAAAAGAGAAAGTATTTAAATATAAAAGTTATAAGCGGGGTAATCGTATTAGATCACAGAAATAAAATGTCGGCCTATCTGCTGTAGTTTGGAACCACAACTTCTCTCACTAGATTTCTAATGCGTCACTTACACACAGTTGATTTATGAGCGCTCTGTGGTTAATATACTGAAAACCTGTGGGTTTCACATTTTATTCCACAGCTTATAGTCAATATGTCATGTGTCTCTTTTTAAAAACATCTGTCAACCAACAAACACTGATACATTGCTGATTTTCCTCCTTTATTAATCCCAAATCCAGTGTTAAGAGAAGCCATGAAGAAAAATCCAAGTCAGCTCCGAAATGACATAATAACTGGACTTTCCAACTGTGATATTGCCAGTGATTTTATTTGTTTGCAGTGTTTGGTTCTGCCTGGGACTGCAGACACAGACTCTGTACAGCTGTACAGGCTGACATGTGACCTGGTTCCAGTGGATTCCACAGTGAGGTGTGGCCTCAGCCAATCAGTCTGGGTGTGGCTGCAAGCACCACCCCTCCCACACAGGGAACACACATACACACAGAGGACACACACACTGGTCTCTCAGTCCCATTGTGATGGGACAGAGCCCCCTCTGTGTCTCTAAACAAAGGTAAAGGCAGCTTGATGTCACACCTTCCCCCCAGCCGGCAACCAACACACAGCCAGAGTCTGAAAATACAGCAAACAACCTCCCTGAAACATCTGAAAGCTTCTTGTACTTTCTGTCCCTTTATTTCATGGGTATGAGGACAAGAGTCCAAACAGACCATGTGATACATTGAACGTTGCTACCACAGCAGAGCAGGATTTTGCTGCCAATCTGACATTCAACAATCACAAAGGAATTCATGGGAGAAAGTGAAACCGATTTCTTATTTCTACATCAATGGGAGCAGGAAATAGACCACAAAGCATTGCAAAGCATTGCAGCTACAAGATAGGTTACAGTCTAAATAGGGAGGGCAACTTTCCATTCATCTTTACATTGGTATGTGTTGATTTCCTGTTATTATTAGGAAGCACTAAAGTACTTTAAGTACGTAAAAGACCTTTACTGCATATTGTACACAGTACTTAACAGAGTTAAGAAGATAATATAATGCTAGAGTGTGGGAACAGGAAGTTATGCAAACTTCCCGTTACAAATGTAACTAGATGCAAATGTTAACTGCATGAGTGAGAAATGTTTAAGAAGTCTAGATTCCAGGATATGCAGAGCAAAAGAAACATCATTTGTTAATTTAACATCCTGAATAATGAACTTAAGGGATGCTCCAGCAAAAGGGATTGCAATTATAGACATTTTACGTCCTGTTATTTTACCTTCATCATTCATTTTTTTCAGGTTTGTTCCAGCACAATGTTTTCTCATCTGCTGCCCTCATTATCACCTGTTCTTTTCTGTGATTGGCCACTTCTTGCCCGCTTTCTAGGCTGAATTGGTCCATTCAGCTCTGTGGACAAGCCTCATGACCTTCTGAAACTCTCCTCAAATTGTAGATTCACCCGACAGAGTGAATGTAAGCGATTATTGGATGTTGTTGGTGCTTGAACCGTCTTCAGGAAGCCAAACCACATTCTGTTCTTTACATATTGTCATCTAAAGATGTAAGGCGGTCGTAGGGGAACTTCTGCAAATGAAAAACAGAACCTCTTAATAAATCAGATCCGGTGCTCGTCAGCCAGACGTGAAACGAAGCCCTCCTTCTAGTTGCGTTAGAGTGTCAGACAGTCTTGAGTAAGGAGGATTTGTTTGTGTCTGCTGGAAAGAGCTGAAGGCTGAGGACGGAGCCGCTGAAGGGCAAAAGTCCACCTGTAGCTTTAAGTCAAACACACTCCCTAAATTCCAACTTCGCTAAAAAAATTCCATTACAACCTGGTTTCATAATTTTTTTCTGAAGTCAGAAACACGTCACTGTTGGAATCGGTTGTAACGGACATGAACTTAAGCTGGCAGCTGCCGTTCACGCTTAAGACCTGGTAAAAACAGCATTTAAAAACTGAGCTGTGAAATCGATTCATTGAGCTGGAATCCCCGCGACCGGTGGATTTGCTCACGTTGAGTTTTGTTAGTGAACTTTGACCCTGTGGGTTTGCGCCGTCGACCAATAGCACGCCACCTTGACATTGCTGACCTTTGAGGGAACGAACAGAAGGTGAGTCTAAATGGAGGAAGATATCCAGTCACCACTTTTATTTAACCTCCTCACTATAAACTGCTGCACAAAACAGGAATGCTCTACAGACAGTTATAGGACAGCAGTCGG